GCACGAGTGATAAGTCTGTGGGCTGGAGCAAGTGCCACTATCATAATACAGTTGAAGAAATGGGGTCTGGGAGAGGTTAATAACCTGCTCAAGTGTTTTGGGCAAGCCAGGCCTCAGAATTTCTGGCCTGCCACACTTTATGCGAAGAAAGTAGGCTGCTCAGGGCTTCTCTGGATCAGGGAGTTGATTGACCTTGTCCTACAAGCAGCCAATCCTTATTGTGCTATCATAAGGTCTAACTTTACAAAATGAGCTGGGACAGTTATATTATAGGCTGAGAATTTGAATTAAGAACCAGAGAAAAGAAGTTAGTAGTTGGGATTCCAAACAGGAGTCTTTGTGGGAGGTAGGATGGAGTTAGAAGAGGGACCCAGGGAATCAGACACAGCAGGAAAGAAAGCACAGATGACAGTTAGCAGAGCCCCTGGTTCCCAGTGGCTTCACATTCCCATTTCAGTGTGTGCATGTATCTTTACCTCAGCACCCTGTCCCACCCAGTCACTGTGAGCTGATTCTAGTGAGGGCTTGCTCCTGGCAATTAAAGTTTTTAACACGTTAAGCACCCAGCCTGTTTTGTCTTCTGGACGGAAAGTATAGTGTCAGTCAGTCACCGGTGAATGTGTTAAAGAACATCCCAGGTGGACCCAGGATTGGAAGCCAGGCCTTCTGTCCCTGTGTCTAGTATTCTTTCCACTATTTCAGTGCTAGGGACAGTATCTTTGCATAGATTTTGGTAGAGGGCCATGCAAAAATGTTGCATATTAAATGTATTTAAATGACAATGAACAAGGCTGTAATTGTGATGTGAGTGGGAGGAAACAGCCAGTGAGGCAAACCAAATCCCCTCTCAATTTAAGCTAGCCCAGTAGGAGGATTCCAAGAAACAGAAAATAGACCTTTACTAGTTCTTATTTACATAAGGCGCCTGCCTTCTCTGCTCTTTTGACCCCAGTCCTGGGGAGTTTGGTGCCCCCTTCCACCATCTCCACCGCAGCCCCAGCTTGCCAGGTGGGCGGGGCTTGCAAAGGGGGGCAGGTTGGTAACCTGGGCACGTGGGCTTCTGCCCTTCAAGTCTCAAGGCTACGGAGTGCAAAGAATGCCAAGATCATGATTGTTATCCATGTGTGGCCTTTTGATTCACATGCTAGTGAATATATTTCAGGTACAAATCATTCTTTCCCACCAGCTCTTTCTGCAGGTCTCTAACAAGACAATTACACGTTCCATTTAACAGTGACTCAAGGACAGATCTGAGGGCTGTTTTCCTGTGTTGAAAAGGTAAAATACAAAACTGCCCCCATTGCACCCCACGCATCTGCCTGAGGGGGCAGCAGGCTCTCCAATGCACCTGGTGGGTGCTCAGGGCTGTTTTTCAAGCACTGAATGGGCAGGATCACAACTCAGGGTAGGGACAATGGTGGCTCAGAGGGTTTGCTCACCCCCTCATTTCTCTGAAAAGAAGCCTCTACTTGACAATTACCTATCTGGAGTCACCTTTTGAAACCAACTGAAAAGAGCTTATCTTATAATCAACATTTCCCAGAAATTGCTCAAGAGCCAAAGGCTATGCAAAGAAAAAGATTTTAGCAAACTAAATTCAATGCACATTTTTGTCAAAAGCTTGCAGAGCTGCAGGTCAGCCCTTTGAATATTTTCAGATTTGATTTCCCAAAGGAAAGCTTTTAGAAGCTGCAAATAGCTGGTGGCACTGATAAAAAGCAAGAGTGAGATATCCTATTGGACAAGAACTGGATATTTAGGGGCGTAAGGGAAAGTCTGAACAGAGTTCAATTTTCATTTTAAATCTAAGGTTGAAAAATTACTGAACTATGGAGGTGACAGCTAAAATCCAATCATAAATCAAAAACCCCCAGTGTAGTTAACATTCTGTTTAGACTAAACCACAAACTATTTAAGAAAAAGCATCCTGAAAACATCACAAATGTGACATTAGTGCTTAAGAGTGTTGTCTTTTTTTTTTTTCCTCCCCCAAAAGTTTTCTGATATTAAAAGGAAATAACTCCAAGGAGGCCTATAGCATAATCACATTTTCCACTACTTTAATTAGTTTCCTGTTAACCTGGCCAGGCTATACTACTTGGTGATTTAATCAAATGTGAATCTACCAGGACAGAAAGGCTGATGTTTCCCAATAACTGGTCTTTGGAAATTTGTGTGACTCTTGGAAATTTCGTTTTCCTTTCTACATCTTTAAGCTGACTGTGGAGATAAATTGCCATAAGAACCTTTGAAATTTTATGCAAGGTGTTCAAAGATAACAGGAAGCCAGCACTTATGAGAAATAAGTGCTTATTAAGAAATAATTGTATTTATTAAATAACAAGAAATAATTGTATTTATTAAAGAAATACATGAAAATGGTTATATAAAATCAAATGGTCTCAAAAGTCTAAGTGACAACTAAAAAGTCCCCTGCTCACCCTAACCGGTTTGGCTCAGTGGATAGAGCATAGGCCTGCGGACTGAAGGGTCCCATGTTTGATTCTGGTTAGGGGCATGTACATTGGTTGCGGGCACATCCCCAGTAGGGGGTGTGCAAGAGGCAGCTGATCGATGTTTCTCTCGCATCCATGTTGCTAACTCTATTCTTCTCCCTTCCTCTCTGTAAAAAAAAATATATCAATAAAATATATTTTAAAAAATAAAATAAAAGTCCCCTGCTCTATCTCTCCCTAACCTCAATTGTCCTTGATCATTTGCTTGAGTATAGATTTATCAGTGAAAATAACTTTGTTCTCAGAAGTTAAGGTACGATTCTGTTTTTTCTTTTATTCCCCTCTCCTGCCTTCTTTCCTTCCAAGCATCTCAAATTTGGTGGGTCCAAAATTAAAATCAAACTCTATCAGAAAATCCCATTACCTCCAACTTAAAAGTATATCCTGAATCACAATTTCTTCACTATACTCAACCCCCTGGTCCAAGTTGCCATTATCTCTTACCTGAACTTCTAATTGGTCTTTCTGCTTCTGTATTTTTTTACATTGTAAAATATTTAAGAAACTATGTGTGGCTTTATACTTTTTACTACATAAAAAGTAAGAAGATCTTAACACACATAGTTAATCATAAACATATGGAATTGGTTTAGGTGTTTAGCATTCACTGGTCCTGTGCTTGTCAGTAGCTTCTTAATGCAAACACTGGGGATCTAGCCAGCAGCTGAAGTATGTTCAGCCCATCAGAGGGCAGGGAATGGGTGACCCTGTGAACAGCCCTCAAACAATGATGAGTAGGGGATAAATACTCCAGTTCTCTTCCCCTCCATTTCCCAGATATCCCAGCAGTACCCAGCTTGTTATCCAGTGGAAATCTGCTCATTGACCTTGAACTGGCTTACCTTCCCAGTTTCACTTTTCCATATACCAACCTGTGCTTGCATTTAAATTTTAGTCTTGGGATCTGCTTTTGGGGGAAACCCAATCTAAGACAGTCATGTATGCATTTTCCTGTCACTGGCCTTTCAGGTTGTTTTTAGTTTTTCACTATTACAAACAAGGCTGCAACATATTTCTACAAATCTCTTGATATATATGTAGAAGGTCTTATCTTGGTATTTATCTGTGTGTAAAATTGCTGGGTCAAAGGGTGTGTGCATCTTCATTCTTAATAAATCTCGTCAGCATTTTAAAAGGCTGAGTGTCAAGTACTGGTGAGAAGGCCACCTCTGGTGCACATGGAATGGTTCCCTTTTGAAGTTTTAATGTGCATTTCTTCAATTACTAGTGGGAATGCATGTCTGTGCATGTATTTATGACATTTGTGTTTCCTCTTCTCTGAATGGCTTGCTTCTTTTTCTTATTAATATATGAGTTCTAAAAATTCTGGATACTAATAATTTTCTGATTATGTTCCTTGCAGAGAGCTCCATTATTATTATTTTTTTTAAAATATATTTTATTGCCGAAACCGGTTTGGCTCAGTGGATAGAGCGTCGGCCTGTGGACTGAAAGGTCCCAGGTTCGATTCCGGTCAAGGGCATGTACCTGGGTTGCGGGCATATCCCCAGTAGGAGATGTGCAGGAGGCAGCTGATCGATGTTTCTCTCTCATCGATGTTTCTAGGTCTCTATCTCTCTCCCTTCCTCTCTGTAAAAAATCAATAAAATATATTTAAAAAAAATATATTTTATTGATTTTTTTTTTTACAGAGAGGAAGGGAGAGGGATAGAGTTAGAAACATCGATGAGAGAAACATCCATCAGCTGCCTCCTGCACACCCCCTACTGGGGATGTGCCTGCTACCAAGGTACATGCCTTTGACCGGAATCAAAGCTGGGACCCTTGCGTCCACAGGCCGACGCTCTATCCACTGAGCCAAACCAGTCAGGCCCATTATTTTCTTGTGGTTTGTAAGTCTTATGCAGAACTGATTTCTATTCTGTGTGATCTCTTTTTTTTCTCTATGAAAGATTTTTAGGAAATTCCTTTTTACTCCTGATATTCTGTATCCCAATTCTACTGCTGAATGTAAAGGGCTCAATTTATCACCTTAATTAATTTTTCATGAAACTAAGCACATAATAGTTCAAAAAACTGAATCATAATAGACATACCTAATGCATAAAAATAATGCACCCAACTGCGGATACTATCTGTCAACAGTTACAGCATAATTTCAAATTTTAAAAAATGGTGCAACAAATACTCTTGGGCCCATCTCTTTGTTCAGGATTAATTTCTAGAGGTTCTGTGTCCAAACCCAGGTTATTTTGAATTTTAATTGATATCGTTAACTTTTACCCTTAAAATGCTATTTCTTTGGATACCTAAAAATCCAAATTTTAACATGAGGGATAAAACAAGTTTTAATTTTTTAATTATGTGAAATTTATTTTCTATCTTATTAATTTTGGTTTCTTTTAACTTTTAATTTTAAGCCATATGCTTGTTATTAGATTACCTTTTGTGTGTGAAGAGCAGCCTATTCTTATTCAATCAGTGTAACATCCCATGGCATCTCACCCAAGATTACAAACAAAGTTTTTAAAGGTCTCAGGCCTTTTCTTTTAATCATCAAAAAAGTAGTCTCCTACCTGCTTCTTACTATCCCTATGGGATATACTGTAGTTCTCAACTTAGTGATTCTGAGTGAACAGAACTTTTTTCAGAAGTGTGATATGCATAGAGTAATTCTGGTCCCTGTTTTGATTGATCTACTTCTTTTTTAGTATCTAAGTTCTAATTCTTCTGTTTACAATCCATTTCTGACATTTGGACAAATTTGGCCAGCTCCTTTCTTTATAGGTAACTAATGCTACCAGGGGATTCTCCCACTGTGGTTTCTTGGCATATATGACTGTAGGCAGGTGCTAGGGACCTAATCCTCAGAATTTCTTAAGGATTCAGACAGTTACAACAACAGATGTTTCACAAATGTTGTGGTTGAGATTAAAACTAATTAATAGAAATACATTGCTTAGAAATAATTATCCACAGATCTAAGTAACAGAAATATCTTTCTCTAATGTTAAATACATAATTGTTTGGAGGGGATGGGGAACAACTTGAAATGAATCAGACAACACCTTCACATTACTCATTCTTTTCATATACTTCAAATTTGTACTTAATGCCTTTTTCCTCCTGGACATCAGAAAGAACACCTGGGTACCTGTAAAAGAAATATATATATAATTAAATAATGTATCAATTAAAACAAAATTTTAAAAGAACAGTTTATTGATTTTTGAGAGAGAGAGAGGAACATAGGTATGAGAGTGCAACATCTATTGGATGCCTCCTGCATGCCCCTACTATTTATTTATTTTTTAATATATTTTATTGATTTTCCACAGAGAGGAAGGGAGAGAGATAGAGAGCCAGAAACATCGATGGGAGAGAAACATCGATCAGCAGCTTCCTGCACATCTCCCACTGGGGATGTGCCCGCAACTCAGGTACATGCCCTTGACCGGAATCGAACCCAGGACCCCTCAGTCCGCAGGCCGACGCTCTATCCCCTGAGCCAAACCGGTTTTGGCCCCTACTATTTATTAAGCCCACAATCTAGGCATGTGCGCTGATGGGGAATCACGCTGGTGACCTTTTTGGTGCACAGGACAATGCTCAACCAACTGAGCCACACTGGCCAGGGCAATGGTCCACTGATTTTTGATAAGGGTGTCAAAACAATTTAATGGGGGAAAGAGTAGTCTTTTCAACAAACAGTGCTAGGACAACTGGATAGCCACTTACAAAAGAATGAACTTGGACTCGTTCCTTACATTATACCAGACCACAGACTTAATGTAAGAGTTGATATAATTAATCTTAAAGCTGAAAAGTTCTTTTAAACTAAAATGCTACAAGTTTTCAAAATCAGGCAGTTTCATGCTAAAATCACTACTACATGGTAAAGCAAGTGTAATCTCTTCTTTCCATCCCCACCACTGCTATCTAAGTCCCTTCATCTTTCATCTGAACTACTGCAACTAACTGGTTTCCCAGCTTCACTTCCCTCTAGCCCAGGGGTCCTCAAGTACGGCCCGCGGGCCACATGCAAATACAAATACTGTATTTGTTCCCGTTTTGTTTTTTTACTTCAAAATAAGATATGTGCAGTGTGCATAGGAATTTGTTCATAGTTTTTTTTAAACTATAGTCCGGCCCTCCAACGGTCTGAGGGACAGTGAACTGGCCCCCTGTTTAAAAAGTTTGAGGACCCCTGCTCTAGCCCATTCTCCATAAACAGCTAGAACAACATCACTCACTTCAGAACCTCCTACCCTGCATTGGGTCTGATCCCTTTGGGTCTTCCCCTTGCTCACAATGCCCTCAGTGGCTTTCAAGGCTCAGGGAACATGCCAAGCTTGTTCCCATCATTGGGTCTCTGCACTGGCTATTTCTGGTTCCTGGAATGCTCTTTCCTGTCATTTAGATCCTAGTAATAAAACTGTTATAACTAACCTCGTTATTAATTACAGGAGAGAGCAAAGGGAAGGCCAAATATTATAGGCATGTCATTTAGGCAGCTCCACCAGGAACCTAAAGCTTTACACTCCCTAGGGAGCCACTGGTCTATTCCTTGAAAATAGCTGGGGGAAGGTACAGGACAGGGAGAATAGATGCATGCCCAATAAAGTTGGGGTGTCCTTGGGAAGGTGCCTGTCAGTCTGGCCTGGGAACAGGTCATTGGACAGAATGGGCGTGGCCACCTCAAGGGCGAGAAATTGGAGTATTTAATCCTCTAAACCAGGGGTTCTCAACCTTCGTAATGCCGTGACCCTTTAATACAGTTCTTCATGTTGTGGTGACCCCCAACTATAAAATTATTTTTGCTACTACTTCATAACTATAATTTTGCTACTGTAAACAGTATGTAATTATATATGTATTTTCCAATGGTCTTAGGCGACCCCTGTGAAAGGGTCGTTTGACCCCCAAAGGGGTCGCGACCCACAGGTTGAGAACCACTGCTCTAAACAAATGAGTTTGCTTTCTTGGTTTCCCTTGGCCTGTTACTCTTGGCTCCTGGCTTGCAGGGCTCTCTTGCTCCTGCTCCCTGGCATTGGCCCACATGGCTGACCCCCCACAGAAGTGGACTAATGGACTGTAACTAGCCTGATGTTGAAATGGACCCTGATGCAACATGGAACAGAAACTCTGGACACTGGTTTTGCTTCTAGCTCTATTGAAACCCCAGCTACACTTCTTCCATGACTGGAATGGGGCTTTGGAAATGCAGGGATGTAATTCCACACAAATAAAAATCATTCATCTTCCCATGTGAGTCTTGGAAAATTCTTTTCCTAGAGATATTGTAGGGGCCCTACCTCCAGCCCCCAGTGGGGAAAAGCATACCCCAATTTCCCAGATAACAGTGTAGACCAGTGGTTCTCAACCTTCTGGCCCTTTAAATACAGTTCCTCATGTTGTGACCCAACCATAAAATTATTTTCATTGCTATTTCATAACTGTAATGTTGCTACTGTTACGAATCGTAATGTAAATATCTGATATGCAGGATGGTCTTAGGTGACCCCTGTGGTGACCCCTGTCTTATGGTCGTTCGACTGCCAAGGGTCGTGACCCACAGGTTGAGAACCGCTGGTGTAGACATCACTCTTCAGAGAGGACTTCTCAGACTACACACAGTATTTATCACATCACAGTACTTCAATTCTCCACACAGCAACTCTTGATGTTTAATCTATTACTAGTAGCCTGGTGCATGAAATTCATGCACATTGAAAGGGAATTAATTAGAGGAAATATTTTAATATTGCTATTTGCCCTTTCTCTATAACAGAAGTGTCAGAGATGAAAGAAAATTAATAAAACGTATATGAAAATCTCCCTCCTGTCAGAATCTGGGGTGCACCATGGGACCCAGAGTCAAGTCCCTGTCCACCCACGTGCACCTTGAAATTGTGCGAGACCCAGACCCGGCTGGCCCCACCCCCGTCAAGCTTGGCAGGGCAGGGTGGCGCAGTTTCAGGCCCCTCATCAAGTCCCGCTGGGTGGAGGGTGCAGCCTCAGGTCCCCTGTCAAGCCCAACTGGGTAGGGGGCGCGGCCTCAGGTGTCCCGGTCCCGGCGTGAGGGCACAAGGGCGTGACAACCATTTGCATATTAGCTCTTTATTATATAGGATTTGCCACTCTAACTCTCTACTACAAAAATGTAATCTGGAGAATAGTGAATAGCATCTGTTTTGGAAGGCAGCTATGCTAACCACTATACCACCAACGCCCCAAGCATCTGTTTTGGTAAACACTCTTTCCCCAATGCTCAGGACAGTGTTTGATGCTGAATACAATTCCCATAGAATGGACTAAGGACTACTCTAGATTTCAGTAAAATCATTAAAACTTGAACATTCCCAAGTCTGTTAAAGCAGAATTCCAATAATTTTCTATAGTATTTGCCTATAAAAACATTACTACCCCAAATTCAATCTGAGAGACATACTCTTTCCTATAATTCTTTTTTTTTAAAAAAATATTTTTTATTAATTTCAGAGAGGAAGGGAGAGGGAGAGAGAGATAGAAATATCAATGATGAGAGAGAATCATTGATTGGTTGCCTCCTGAATGCCTCACACTGGAGATCAAGCTCATGACCTGGGATGTGCCCTGACCAGGAATTGAACCGTGGCCGCCTGGCTCATAGATAAAAGTTCAACCACTAAGCCACGCTGGCTGGGACCTTTCCTATAATGCTTAAGCTGTAAATCCAAAAGTGCTTCAGAATAATATATAACATTTTACTTACTCTGGGAGAAGTTTATATTTCTCCAAATCAATTTCTGGGAAAAATGTATCACTTTCAAATTCCTGCATGATCCTTGTCACAAAAAGTCGTTGATGGCCGGGCTTGCTCATGGCTTCCTTTGAAATAAAACAAAAGTCATCAATTTCCTTTAATTATCTGTGTCAAAAGAAACAGAACTCGAGATTTTTGTGTTTTAATTATATAGTCAAATTTGTACCAGGTATTAAAGAATGCTATTTAAATATCCCATTCTTTACTTTAGAGCCCTGCAAAGTAGTCTTATTTATGTTGAGAATGGTACTAGTCATTATATCTAATTATAAGAGTGAGTTAAAATATATTCTGGCCTCAAGTTTGCTTATATGAACTCTTTTTTCATTTAATCGTTCAGTTTTGTCTCTTCTTTGGTGGTTGCTTAGGAATTAAGAACCCTGAATTGTCTAGTTACTGGCTATAGAAAAAATTACATATATATCTCTACACTAATAAAAGAGAAAGATGCAAATTGACCGTTCCTTCACAACGCCCACCAGGAGTGAGTATGCAAATTAACCCAACAAAGATGGCAGGTTAACTTGCATATGCAGGCGCCACCCCAGTCACTCTGGGCCTCTGCGCAGCATGGAAAGGCAGAAAGGTGGCTCCGGGCCAGAGCGAAGGCGGTGCTGGCAGCCAGGGGAAGGAAGGCTCATTCTTGCATGAATCTTCGTGCATTGGGCCTCTAGTAAATAGATAAGATAGTACACTTTCACAAGACTTTGCCTAATAAAAACATCAAGGGCCCAGTTGGTTGGTACATTTACACAAAATTTAATAATGTTTCCATTTCCCCAGGAGATAGTTACAATGCTAGCAGGTAATTTATTCTGCCTCTTGTTGCTAATGATTGTATTTGGCCTCATATTGTTAATGACTTTTCTAACTAACGCCTATAATACTGTTGATAAAAAGTCATGAGTCCTAGCTGCAGCTCCAAGAAAGCAATAACTCTGGCTTGAAAAAGAAAAAAAAAACATATATAAATATAATTTTAAGGGAAGTCCTCAGGGGAAGTCCTTCTCCTTGAGTTGGACTTGCCCACCTGGCTCCCCAATATTTCCAAATTATCTCTTGTCTTTTGTCTCCTTTCTTTCATCGGTGTGCGGCTCCTCTTCCAGACCCCAAACTCCGAACCACGCGGAACGTGGAGGGAAAACACATCAACAACATCTGGTGCCTGAACAGGTAATCTGGAAGTGAGGGTTTTGCTAGAGTGAAAAAATGAAGTTTCACGGGCAAGGTGAGGAACAAAGAAGTTACCGTAAAGAAATATTAAGCTACAACAGGAATCCAAGAGAGAAACTAACCAAACTAATGAGGACCTTGTGCCTGGAGCTACACTATGCAGCTGCAAAAGCCACAGAGAGCAGCGACTCGAAGCAGTCTACTGAAGATGAGGAGCAGGAGGAAGATGAGCCAGACAGCCCAGAGACCATCTGGGGCACGGTAAAGTGAAGTATGGTAACAATTATCTCAGGTAAAAACCATAGTTTCATGTTGGTCTTGGAGAGTGCATTCTCCTTTACCTGGGAAGGACAGCACAGTTGTCCCAAGGTCAGAGGGCTCCGGTTAACGTGTCCTTGTTGACTAAGTGTTTTGGAGACCCAAAACTGTGATTTAGATAACATACCTAAGTTTGACCCAGGTCACCCAAGGGCTCTAGACCCAAAACTGTAATTTAGATAAAGTGCCTAAGTTTAACTCAAGTCACCCAAGGGTTCTAGACCCAAAACTGTAATTTAGATAACGCACCTACGTTTAACCCAGGTTACCCAAGGATTCTAGTTAATGTGTTTACCCCAAACTGTAATTTGGATAGCATGCTGTTTCTGCTTCTGTAAACTGCTCTTTTTTGCAAACCAGGTTCCTCATTCCAAAACTTGAGACAGCCAGTTTAAAATTGAATTACCATGACCTAGAGCAAAGAATATCATTACATGGTATTTTTCTACAATGTACAACAGTATATTGTACATTTATCCCAAACAAACTTACGAACTAATTTTTTGAATGTTTGGCAGCAATTTAATAAGGATATGAAAGGATTTATTCCCTTCCACTGTGTGGAGGGCCCCCTGGGAAGGCACTTGAGCATTCTGTATTGACCTCTCTTGACCTATTTGCCAAGAAGGTCCCTCTTCTCACAATTCAATTGCCCCCAGCTGTTGCCCGAGTTCTCTGTTCTTGCTGAGGTCATGGTGGCTGGTGCCATGGATCTGTCTCTCGCCCAATGGTGTGAGCTGGGCCCTCTCTGTAGAAGAAACCTGGGTTCCCCATGATCAATGCTGGGGCCCCGCCAGCAGGCGAGGGGATCCAAAGGCAGTTGCTGGGCATGGAGGCCACAGGGGCATAGGCTACCAAGGAGACAGAACCTCACATCACCCTGCTTGGCCCCGGAGGATGGCTGGTTAGTCAAATATGGGTAAGATTCCTCAGGGAGGAACGACCTAAGACAAGCACAGTCACAGAGGGGCCTCAAGAGAGAACTTGGGGGTCAACAGAGGTGGGGCACAGAGCCTCACCCCCCCAATTATGCAGGGGCTTGAACACTCGCCCCTTCTGAGGGATGTCTCCTGCCCCCATGGCTGCTTATCGCTTCCCATGCCCAGCCCAGATCGGGACCCAGATAACAGAAAGAGACTTGGTCCAGCTCAGATTGGGACTCAGATAAGAAACTTGGCTAACAGCAGCTACCTATATCTAAATCCAGCCTAACAGGAATGCTCAGGGACTTCTCAAGGATGAAAAATAATCTTTTCCATTAATATTTACAGTGTAAACTAAGATTGATGTTAGAGTATTAAATTTGACAGTAAAATAGTAGTCAAGTTTTCAGATTAATTAAAATTGGCTCAAGAATTTAAAGTTATCTAGACTGCATTATAAATTTTCCAAAAATCCTCTTAATAATTAAATAAAAAAAGGGGGGAATAGTGGAAAAATACCATGTAAAGAAAAATATCCTGTAACTAAATTAAATTTAGATAAAATTTTTCATTTATAATGCTAACAGCGAGACACCCAGGAAAACACACATAGTGTCAGGGAAAGCCAGGGGAAGATCATTTTAAAGAAAAGACCCCAAGTAAGGTTTTCTTTATTAACCTTTGGTCGAGAATACGTTTGTGTATTTTCAGAAGAACAGCTCCCAGACCATGTGGATTCCTGCAACAACAGATCCCAACTGACCAGGTTGCTCCAGCCACAAAGACAGGAGAGACAGTTCAGAGATGGAGATGGTGAAGATGCCTTGCCATGTGCGTCACTGCAGGTTGCCCAGGACCAAACCAGAGAGGGTCGGACCTGCATTGCCACCATTTATCCACCATCCAGAACTAGCATATCATTGCTGGCATGTACACATGAACTGTAGGACATTGAAACTTGGACTCAGAACTGTTGGACATTGGAATTGGGACTTAAACATTTTCTGTTCTTATATGTTTATTTCTGGTCTACAGATACAAGATTTTTTAAGGAAAAAAGAAGGGGGAGATGTCAGAGACCACCTATTGTCTTCACTAGCAGAGAAGCGTAGAGACCCCAAAAGCTGGTGACCTTTGAAGCCCTAGCAAAGGTTGGAGCTGTGCACCACCCAGCTAATCTAGATAATGGTAGCTGAAGCATCCTCCCCACCTTTACTCATGTAAATCCTTATTGATAAGATAGTCTGTGTGTCACTGGAACCTCCCTGCCTAAGGGCTATCCCATAGCAATAAAAGCTTGGGGAGGCCTGGGGAAAAAAAAAAAAAAAAAAATATATATATATATATATATATATATAATTTTAAGTGTTTGTTGTATTTAAAATTCCAAATAAGGGCACAGAACAAATTTTACTTTACTACAGCTTAGAGTATTATATCATTTATTCTCTTGACCCAAACAAGTAGATATTATACCAATTCTTGCTGTACCAAAATTTAGGAAAATTGAGCCGGACTAACCACTGCAGCTTTTGAAAGTCTGTATCAAAGTTTATGATGTTTGGCAAACCTTTTCTGTAAAGGGTCAGATAGTAAATATTTTAGGCTTTGTGGGCCATGTGGTTTCTCTTTTAGGCAAATGCAGCCTCAGACAATACTAAAACCAATGGCTGTGGCTGTGTTCCAATGAAACTTTATTTATAAACTCAGGCTAATTGACCCACTTTGGCCAATAAGGAGAAGCCTAAATGTTCTACAAGCTAGTGTGATGTGAGGTAGGTGGATAATGCAGAATTATAACCTGGAGGTTCTACTTCCTTATTATTTACTACACATAGATATATCAAATTATATAAATGAATTTAATTTTAAGTATTTATATTGTTTAAAAGGTTGTAGAAAAGGAACCTAAGAAACAGTTTTTGTAATCCCATCTAAGATCCTGGTATATGTCTTCTTTCTCAAATAATTTCAGTGCACATATTACCACAAGCCCCCAAAGGGTAGGAGCTGATTTTTTTCCTTCCCATAAATATTAATCTTTCTTGAGTGCTTTATTTTTATTTATTTTTCAAAAATATATTTTATTGATTTTTTTTTTTTTTACAGAGAGGAAGGGAGAGGGATAGAGAGTGAGAAACATCAATGAGAGAGAAACATCAATCAGTTGCCTCCTGCAAACCCCCAACTGGGGATGTGCCTGTAACCAAGGTACATGCCCTTGACGGGAATCGAACCTGGGACCCTTCAATCCACAGGCCAACGCTCTATCCATTGAGCCAAACCGGTTAGGGCATTGAGTGTTTTAAAAGCGTAGAAAAATTCCTTTTACTTTCCTCAAAATTTTTGAAAGCTGTAAGTCATTTGCTGTTAAGAAGAATGAATATTTTCTTTTACTTACCTATGACATAAAATAATGCTTTTTGCATACCCTCACATTATATGAAAATTTTTGAGGCAAAGTTTTCTGCTTTTAACAAATTCATATACTGGTCAGGGTATATCAACTGAGAGCCCCATCGCTTTCTCAGTAAGAGACATTAATCCTCGAAGAAACAGGGCTAACTCAGTGTATCAATGCACATCCAGGGAATAGAAAACAGTGCAGTCCAGTACGATTCTAAGGGAAGAATTTAGAATGTTTTTTAAATTGGAAACATTAACTATGTTGAATTGGAGTTAAGCTGGCAAAGACTTAAAAACTTACTTTTATTGACAATGTGTCTAACTTACAGCAGGGAAATGTGCTTCTTTGCTCAAGACTTAAAAAGTACATATGGCAGGGAAGCTGAAAGAAAGTAGAGTGGGAAAATTCTTTGTGTTTATTGATAACTTTACTCACCTTATAAACGGAACTGCCTCCTACTATCCAAACCATATCCACTTTATTTTTTAATTCTGGTTCCTCAATAAGTTTTAAGGCATCATCCAGACTTTTGGCAAGAAAATGAGCTCCTTTTGGAGGTTCCCTGAGGTTAAGAGAAAGAATTACATATAATTTCTACAAAAGCCATTCATACTAGTTAAATAATCTGTATGGGAAACAATAATTATAAAACTAAAATTGTTATATAAATTGGAATCCTCTCAACAATAAACTGTTAACAGCAGTATGGCCTATGACCAATAATTTAACCCACATTTGTGTATGTATAGTCCACAGTGAATCAAAAGAAAATACTTCCGATATCTTGAGATATTTATGGTGGAAAAAAATCAGAACAGTAGTTGTCTATGGAGGGATGGCTGGCCCCTCCCCCTGGTCAAACTCCAGGTCGAGGGGACAATTTGCATATTAGCCTTTTATTATGTAGGACAATAAATATTCCATTGTATGGATATAGCATATTTTATTTATCTTTGATGAACATTTGGGATGCTTCCAATTTTTAGATGTTATGAATGATGCTGCTGTGAACATCTGTGTACAAGTTTTTGTGTGGTCATATATTTTCATTTCTCCTGGGTATACACCCGGAGTAGAATTGCTGTGCCATATAATTCTATGTTTAACCTTTTGAAAAAGTGCCATTTTGTTTTCCAAATGTGGCTGTATAGCATTCTTTTTAAAGCCACAACTTGATAGTATAGAAAGCCATGAAAAAGCATTTTTCCCCTAAGACATATTACGTAAATAGCTACTCAAAATAACTAGTATGGGCAGCAAATTTTGGGATTATGTTGAGGATTCAGTTTCTTCTCACATGGGGAAGAGGCTGGTGGTGAAAGATTGTCTCTGAAAATTTGCAGGAGCAATAGTGATTTTCTTGTGCAAAGCCTTCCCCTTTTATTCAGGATCCAGTAATACCTGGTACACAGTAGGTGTTTAGGATATGTGTGGAACTGACCAGCAATTGACCAGGGAAGCAGAAGGCAGGATTAAAAATAAACTCTAAATTTTTTCCCTAATTGATATCCCTAGTTCCTTTGTATGCTTACAATGACGACTTTACATTTTCTGCCTATAAATAAAAAGTGAAATACACCAACAAATATTTTATATAAATATATATTTAACAACCGGACCCAATTACACATAGCACAGGGGGGTCATAAAGAAATTAGACTTATCGTTTGAGGAGATTTGCTGTCTCAAATGAACATCTCTCCCACTGAGATTTGTTTGTTTTACCTCAAGCTAGCCATAAATAAACTTTAGTATTCAAGAATATGTTATTAACAAGTTCCTGGAAATGGCAATACAGTCTGTAAACTTGGATTATACCAAGTAGAGGGTAATCAGAATATCCTAGCAACCAGGAGAAAGAGAACAGTATGAAAATTGAGGAAAATGGCAAGATGCATCTTACCTAATAATAGACAAACAGGTAAACTGACCGTACCTTCACTACACTAACCATCCAATCAGAAGAGTATGCAAATTAACACAACAAAGATGGTGGTTAATTTGCATACGTAGGTGCGAAGTGGCGGAGCGAAGACCAAAGGCGACTCCGGCTGGAGCGAAGGCCTGGGTCCCAAGTGCCGGAGGAAAACCAGTGCTGGCAGCCAGGGGAAGGGAAAGCCTATTGCACGAATCTCTTCGTGCAACCGGCCTCTAATATCAATATATTCCCCATCACCCAAAGACAAGCAATGCAAATATTCTCGTATACTTTCTCCCAGGTTTTTACCTATGCTATTTTAGGAGGGATCTGTGAAAAAATCTATAGAAGCCTGAACCCGATTAGCCTATGTTGGTGTCAAGTTTTTTCCTTCCTATGGTTTGATGGTCTTTGATGTGTTCACTTGGCTAGGCTATAGTCCTGTTCTAATCTAGGTGTTGCTGTAAAGGTGTTTTATAAATGTGACTCAAGTTGAGAATGGGTCGCTTTAATCTGGGTGGGATTCAATCAGGTGAAAAGCCTTAAAAACAGAGCTGAGGCTTCTCTGCAGAAATTTCACCTGCAGACATCTGCTTCAGCCCTTGAAGAGTGCTAGCCTCCCCTTCCTGATGGCCTGCCCTACAAATTTTGGACTTGCCCAGCCAGCCCCCACATGTGTAATCCAATTCACTGTAAGTTATTGTTATGATCACATTAGTAGTTCAAGAAACAACAAGTACCATGCCAATCCCAAACTTTTCCTTAAGGTCTAATTCAGGCCAATCACTCCCCCAAACAAACAGACCCCCGAGGTTCAGAGAATTATTTTCGTGGGTTAGGACCAATGTAAACAACAACAAAAATATAGAAATCAGGATATATCACAAGTGGGATAAATGACATGGAAGCTACGGTGAAGGCAAAAGCACTGGAGTTGATTTCATAGGTAGTTTTAATGCTATTAAACCTCCTCCCCTGCTCCTGTTCATTTTCAGGCAACAGGAACTAACTCTATTAGCCTGGAGGGCAGAAAAATTCATAGCAGAGGACAATTGGCTGTACAAAAAATATGTATTTTGATTCTTTGTGCAACTGAAAAGATTTATTAATTTACATTTTATAACTGATATTTGACCCTTCTGAATTGAATGAGTAATGGTTCAAGGAAACCTGCAATTCTGTTATCATAGTAGATTTAATGCAACTTTTTAAGGTGATGAAATCACCCACTTAGGCAGCAGAATAAGTTGTAACTGATTATTCATTTTCTGTAATCACCTATGTAGTATTAAGCAGCTTCATCAATAGCTACATTCATAGTATTTTATTTTGTCATATACTGACCTCAGCATAAGAAATGGGACATGGTTTTCTTGTGCTGAATTTATGTGGTAGTACTTACTTGAGTTCTCTACTGAGAACTAAATTAATCCTGTCCTTTAAAGGCCGATTCTTCTTGGGAATGGAGAACCAGGTCTTCCTACCCATAATCACCAAATTCTGTTTACCTATAAAATCACAGAGAGAAGAGATATATTTTGGGAGTATATATGTGTATATATATTCATATATTTGTATGTATGTATTTATATAATTATCATATTGACATCTAGTGGGACTGCTTTAAAAAAATTAAAAATTTTAACAGCCTTACCAAAATTTATCATTTATCGCCCATTATCTAAATATAGTAATTTTCCCCTTTGGCTTTATCCAATTTATATGCAATATAGTTTTAATCAATTGCAGTCATGTATAATATAGTAGTGAAAAGCAAAGATTCTGTTATCTACTAAGCAGGTCTTGTTAATCTTCTGTGCCTTACTGTCCTTATCTACAAAATGGAGATAACATACTAGTTCATACTTCTAGGATTGTGGGGATTGAAGACTTTGAACAATGTTTGACATCTAAAAAGTACTGTTCAACTGTACTTTTAATACAATAGTACTCATGTTTGTGTACTTTGTAGATTTACAATAATAGTCATACTTTTAAATATAACTGCTTAATATTCCATTCAATTAGCTAAAATACCTTCAATTTGGAAGACCTGGGGGTGGGTGGGTAGGGGTTGGGTGGAGAGAGGTAAAGGGGGAGGAAATGGGAAATATCTGAAATACTGTCAACAATAAAAAATACATATATAAAACAAAATAAAATGCAGACATATTTTGCAAGAATAAAATAAAATACTTCCAATTTGTGCCTCTTTCCTTAAAAAAAATTTATATACAGAGCTTCCATTTCTGGTAGAATTTAGGAGAAAAAGCCTTGTGAGTCAGATCTCTGGATCAAAGGAATACACACATTTATAATTCCTGAATTAGCTTGATTTTTAAAAAAACCACTAATATTTACAAACGACAAGTAGTAAGACTAGGCATTTTTCCATATTTTGTTTCCTATTTCCAGACTACTTAGGATTTTTTTTTTAATCTAAAGATTTTTAAAAATATACTTTATTGATTTTTTACAGAGAGGAAGAGAGAGAGATAGAGAGTTTAGAAACATCGATGAGAGAGAAACGTCGATCAGCTGCCTCCTGCATACCCCCTACTGGGGATGTGCCCGCAACCAAGGTACATGCTCTTGACCAGAATCGAACCTGGGACCCTTCAGTCCGCAGGCTGACGCTCTATCCACCGAGCCAAACCGGCTAGGGCATAATTTAAAGATTTTTAATTGATTTTTAGAGAGAGAGGAAGGGAGCGGGAAAGAGAGAAACATCGACTGGCTGCCTGCTGCACCTCCCCGCCTCACCAGAGGTCAAGCTCACAACTGGGGCATGTGCCCAGATCTGCGTCTAACCAGCAACCTTTAGGTGCATGGGACAAGCCCAACCACCTGAGCCACACCATCAAGGGTCAGACTACTTAGGATTCTAGAGGGTGGTTCATTTCAATATTTTGGCTTCAAGCTCTTGCCATTTTTGTCTCCGTCAGTGACCTAAGTGCAAAGTCCAAGAACTTGTATCTGCTCTGCTCAAGCTATGCTGCACCTGCTCCTTTCTATTTCCCTGTTTACTCTGCTATTCCTCCTCCTATGACCAAATATTCACCTTAGGTTTTAAATGGGTATCCCCTAATCCAGCCGTGGGCAAACTACGGCCGGCGGGCCGGATCCGGCACGTTTGAAATGAATAAAACTAAAAAAAAAAAAAAGACCGTACCCTTTTATGTAATGATGTTTACTTTGAATTTATATTAGTTCACACAAACACTCCATCCATGCTTTTGTTCCTGCCCTCCGGTCCAGTTTAAGAACCCACTGTGGCCCTCGAGTCAAAAAGTTTGCCTAATCCCATATTCTTTTCTTTCGTTATCCTCTTCTCTTTAAAGTCTCAATTCACCTAGTACCCTGCGCCTGAATATCCTACAAGCACCTCAGTATAGTTACAATTGCACCCTATTCTCCCTATCACCCAGACTCAAACTGAAAACTACAGAGTTCATCCTTGATGCCTTCCTGGCATCACCTTTAACTTCTTCATCTCCAAATCGAGTATCATGTAATCGTTCTTTGGACTTTTACCCTCGCCACCGCCTTAGTCCAGGCCTTACCGCTCCCGGCGGCTATTTCAAAGGCCCCCTCTGGTCTCCAGAGCCAACCTCTATCTAGTTGCCAATCTGTCCAATACGTCAATTGTACGCAACCCACATAAAATGTCAAAGAACGTTTATTTTTGAAAAAGTTTAATAAACATTGGGAATTCCATACAGATCAACGGTAAGACAGAAAGAAGGTCCTGCTTAACATGGAAAACTACTTTTAAGTAAAATTTGCACAGGTAAAAAAAGACCCTTGGGGAATCTCGATCACTTAAAAATCCCGTTACCTTTTGCTTTAGAGGTTGTGGTCATTCTTTGGAAATACTTGAATTCATTCCTACAAGTTAAAGAAACACAGCGTGACTCAGAACGTTTTTCCGTGGGCTCCAGCTCTACCACCCCGACAAAAAGTGCGAGGAACTGGGGTCTCCAGGACTGGACTTTGTTCCGGGCAGAGCGCCGCGGGGAAAACGCCTCGCGGGGCGGCAGGAGCGGGACGGAAACCAGTAACTTGGCTTCCCGGCTCCTGGCGCGGAAGGAAGGCCTGGCCCAGCCCCTGGCAGTTTTGGTCGCAAGTCCAACCCCAGCGCCAACCCATCCAGGTGCCTCGATCAAGGGCAGCTTGCACACCAACCACCCCCGGCCCGGCAGGTACCTGAGCGGGGGCCAAGGCAGGTCTCCGTTCTTGCCGATGCCCATGTTCTGGGACACAGCGGCGATGCAGTTGAGAGTATGAACCATGACGGCGGCACCAAAAGCCTCGGAGCTTGCTAGCCACACAGGGACTTTGAACTGAGCTTGGCGCCAAATTGCGACCATCCCGCCCCCTCGGTTCCATTGGCGCACGCGAGGCCACGCCCCTGCCCCGTCCCCGCCCCGGCGCAAGGCGGGAGCGCGACGTGCTCGGTCCCGCAGATGCCCGGGAACTGGGCCGCGGGGTCGCGCGCCGACTCGGCCGTGCCCCTGGCTGTCCGTCTCTGCGCCGCGATGTCGCGCCGAAAGCCACCTGGGGGCGGCGCGGCTGCCGCTGGCCCAGCCCCTGCAAGGCAAGCGGTTTTGAGCAGATTCTTCCAGTCCAGGGGGAGCCTGAAATCCACCTCCTCCCCCAACGGTGCGGTGGAGGGCGAACCTGACGCCGACTCCGCAGCGCCTCCAGCGTCCACTTTCCAGCCTCGGTCGCGACCACACGTGGTGGGTGTGGCCCAGGATTGGGCGGGATCACCGGGGAAGGGGCGGGACCAGGGGGGCGGGGCGGGGCTTGTGAGTGGAGCGGGAGGAGGCGGGGCCCGTACGCGAGAATTAGAGAGTTGAAGGTGCCGGAAGATAAAGGGGCGGATCGGGCAGGTGAGGAGGGGAAAAGCCTGGCCAGTCTCCGTCCTGAGTGTAGTTCAAAGATTGTAGTTTCCACTGGGAAAATAGACTTGAGGCCAAGATCACACGGATTCTTACTGGCCGACCTGAGACAGGAACTCAGGTCTCCTGACTCCCATTCTGATGAGGGCAGGGGCCTCTGGGCCAAGGATACATCTTTTAACCTACATCCAACCCCGCCCCCCCCCCCACCCTCCCCATTTTGTCCCTGGATTGAATGTTAAGAGGAGTTTTATTTATCCTATTTATTCGGGTTTTTTAGGTGCCTCCCTTCAACTGACTAAAATAAGTAGTTGTGGGGTTTGTTTGTTTGTTTTTTACCAGGGACACTGCCCCTCCAGGGAATGCCTAAGGGTGAGCTCTCACTGGGGTCCCTGATACAGTATTTCTCAAACTGAGGGTGTTGAAGGGGATTGCAGATTGGCTTTCAACTACCTTCTAAGTTTTAATGAGGGTGACAGCTTGGCTGCTTCAAAATCTTGTTTCCTTAATTTATATTTTTTCCATAGAGTGATTGGTTCTCTCCTGTTTTAATTTTTTTTGACAGGAGTCTACATTTTTATGAATTCACCAAGATTTTATTTTATACCCACCATTTAGAGGGTATCTGATGAAGGACTTAAATTTTTGACAGGCTTCCTGCCAACAAATGTTCACAGTCTTGTGGCATCTTCAGTGGTGAACATAAAATATAAACTACAATTAACATTTCAAAAGTGATACTGTTCTTTTATTGTCTATCTAATTTCACCTTTACTAAATAGTTTTTCTCTTAAAGGTATTTTATTTAACATGTGTACGTAGAGTAATTCAAGTTCTATAACTTGAAATAGGTGAAGGCTGCCCGAGTAAAGGTGGCAGCCTTGGTTCTGATTAATTCTAGCAGGACTTGAGAAGCTGAGGCTCATGACCGGTCAGTCTCCACCTTGTCTTTGATGATGGTAAAAACATTCACCCATAGGTCTTTTTAGAAGTCCAAGTAGGTGATTGTAGAAAGGAAGGATGGCAAGGACCTTGCTGTCATTCAAAAGTAAGGTTTAAATTATTTTGCATACGTAGTGTTTTGAGATTAGAGAGATTATGTATCATTTTCTCACTTTCCTGATATAGGTTGCAGAAATTGACAGAAGTACAAAGAGACCACTAGAGGATGATGGGCCTGTTAAGAAGAAAGCAAAGAAAGTCCAAGAAAAGGAAGGGCAAAGTGATTCAGTAACGTCTGGGAACCCTGGTGAGTTCTGTGGCAATGATTTTTTCATTCTCACCAGTCATGGCTCTGATATTCTTGCATTATCCACAGGGCAGAGGAGGCGGTTTGGAGAGTTTTGCCATCTTTTTCCTTTGTGGAGAAAGGCCTCCATTGTGCTTGAGTAGAGTGGCCCCCTCCATAAGTGGTTGTGGTGTATGTTAGGAGGTTGGAAGAGGTAGAGGCTGGAGTTCTGCAGTTTGGCTGGAATTCCGTCTAGGTAATTTTTGTCCTTATTATAAAAGTAAAACATGTTTGTTGTAAGAAAAAGCAATACAGAGATGTAGAAGGTTGAAAGTGAAAGACCCTGTAACTCCTCCCTTTCAGTGAGGCCTACTGCTAATTTGGAGGATACGGTATATTCTTTGAGGTTTTCCTATTTATACACTTGTATATGTACACACATAGACCCACAAATTAGTTAATATCGTATAAGTTGTTTTATATGTATACTAGAGGCCCGGTGAACAAAAATTTGTGCACTTGGGGGGGAGAGAGGGGTCCCTCAGCCTGGCCTGTGCCCTCTCACAGTCTGGGACCCCTCGGGAGATAACGACCTGCTGGCTTAGGCCTGCTCCCGGTGGCAGAGAGCAGGCCCAATCCCTAGGTGCAGCCCCTGGTTGGGCTCAGAGCAGGGCCGATTGGGGAGCTGGGGCGCCGCCCCCTGTCATGCACAGAGTTGGGAGATTGGGAGGTTGTGATGCCACCCTCAGTCATGATCAGGGTAGGGCCGATTGGGGGGTTGGGGCACCGTCCCCTGTCACACTTAAGGCAGGGTCGATGGGGAGGTTGTGGCGCCACCCCCTGCCACGCACAGAGCAGGGCCGATCAGGGGGTTGGGGCACTGCCCCCTGTCACTCACAGAGCAGGGCCCATCAGGGGGGTTGGGGCTCTGTACCCTGTCATGCACAGAGCAGGGCCAATCAGGGGGTTGGGGCGCTGTCCCCGTCACACACAGAGCAGGGCCCATCAGGGGGGTTGGGGCTTTGTACCCTGTCACTCACAGAGCAGGGCCAATCAGGGGTTTGGGGTGCTGCCCCCTGTCACTCACAGAGCAGGGCCAATCAGGGGGTGGGGCACCGCCCTCTATCACCCACAGAGCAGGGCCGATCAGAGGGTTGGGGCACCGCCACTCTCACACTCAGGGCAGGGCCGATGGGGAGGTTATGGCTCTACCCCATCACACACAGAGCAGGGCCCATGTGTGTGTGTGTGTGGGGGGGGGCGTTGGGGAGCTCTCCCCTATCAGGCACAGATCAGGGCTGAGCAGGGGGTTGGGGCACCTTCCCCTGTCACAAACCGAGCAGGGTGGGTAGGGAGGTTGTGGCCCCGCCCCCTGTCACACACAGAGCCACAGGGCGATCAGGGGGTTTGGGCACTGCCCCCTGTCACGCTGATCCCGGTGCCGGGAGGCCTCATGGCTCCGCTGATCCCGGTGCTGGGAGGCATATTACCCTTTTACTATATAGGGTAGAGGCCTGGTGCATGGGTGGGGGCCGGCTGGTTTGCCCTGAAGGGTGTCCTGGATCAGGGTGGGGGTCCCCACTGGGGTGCCTGGGCAGCCTGGGTGAGGGGATGATGGCTTCTTGCAACTGGTCACACACCCTTCAGGGTAGGAGTCCCCACTGGGGTGCCTGGCCAGTCTGGGTGAGGGGCTGAGGGCTGTTTTCAGGCTGGGGGTGACTGAAGCTCCCAACCGCTCCTTTTTTTCTTTTTTCTTTTTTTATTCTGGGCCAGCTTTAGCTTTGAGGCTTGGCTCCAGCTCTTAGGTTTCTGGCCTTTGCTTACAATGTTGCGAATCTGCTGACTGAAGCCCGGTGGTATTTGTTACAGAGTTTCTTAAACTGCAGGCTCAGAGGCTTGCAGCTGTAGGCGGGGAATGTTGGTTTCCTCCCTCACTGAGGCAAGCAAGCCTCATGTTAGTTTCAAGCTGCCTGGCTGCCGGCCGCCATCTTGGCTGGCAGTTAATTTGCATATCTCGCTGATTAGCCAATGAAAAGGGTAGCGGTCGTACGCCAATTACCATGTTTCTCTTTTATTAGTGTAGATGTTAATTTACAACTATCTTTTTCCACTTAGCAGAACATTTGGACGATTACCAATGTCAGGTCATGTAGATCTCCCCTGTCCTGTTTTTAGTGTGAAACTGCTTTTTCTGTATGCGAAAAGGTCTTGGATGAAACCATTCCTGAGGTCCTAGACCTCTATATGTGATGTTGGATATATTGGTGGGTGAGCAGATTTTTCTCTGGTTTTGGCCTGGAGAATTTGTGATAAGGGAAGACAGAAAATGCTTCTTTTTTTATTACCCTCATACCTGAACTGATACAAGCTTTTCTGAACTGACAACAGCTCAGGAATGAAGCTTTGTGGTAGAATCTTCCGTGGGAGTAGGGGAGCAGATTAGGGAAGGATGGTAAGGAGGGCATGAAAGTGCTCCATCAAGGGGTCTCACCACACACATACTAAGTCCTTGTCCCTAGGTCCACATTGCTCCAGATCTGGCTAAATGAACTCTGAAGCTTGTAGAAATAAGGTCATAGAAATGGAAGTTTTTGAAATATGAACTTTACATACAGTTTACTTAAAAAAAAAAAATAAATAATGGGAAGAAAAGAGGAGCATCCACCAGCCAGAAGAGTCACTGGCTACTTCATCTTAAGCTTTTTTTAATTACAGTTGACATTCAGTATTATTTTATGTTAGTTTCATGTGTACAGCGTAGTGGTTAGACATTTGTATAATTTATGAAGTGATTCCTCCTGATAGGTCTAGTACCCACCTGGCACCATTTATAGTTTTCACAGTATTGTTGGCTACATACCACATGCTGTACTTGACATCCCCATCACCTCAAGTTTTTTAACATGTCAGTTTTAGATATTCCTTCTTTTGTAAGATTTGCACCCCACCTCCATCCTAGGAAATTTTTAAAAATATCCTTAAGATGGAAGCCCTTTAATAATATACAGACTTACACTGTTGAAGATTGATTCAAGTATATATTTGGAAACAGAGAGTAATAGTAAATAGGATGAATATATACAATCGGAGGGATTCAAATAGACATTTTCCTAGCCATGAGATTAATAGGAGATAAGATAAAGTATACATCTGAAGAGAGGTTTAAATAGAAATATGAAAAGTTTTAAACTTTTAGAAATGAGCAAAACACAACTCTTGCCTTCAGAGTGTTTTTGCTTTAAAAGGGAAGGTAAGAAATGATAAATGCAGCCCCAGTTTCCTTCTATATAATAGCAGCTAC